TATGGGACCAACTCATACTATGTGCAAAACCAGACTGATTAACTCACCTAGGAAGTCTGCTCCATTCTCCACTGTTTCATTCACCTTTCTGGCAACTCTGGCTACAGCTTCCCCCATTTTTTTCTCCATACAGGTGTCACACCAGGGAAGCACTTCCACAGAGGAAACTGTGAATGAGGAAATAAAAACAGTGAGGTCCAATGTGCTAGCCTATCATGAAACAGACAATTAAAAGTAGATGTTATTGACCAGATGTTGTTAATATCAGGCCTCCTATTAAGTGGAATCTGTTGTATTTAATGTCACAGCTACTTATTCCCATTTTTCAGATGATGAACTGTGGCACAGAGAAATTAAAGAACTTGCCCAAGGTCCCACAGAAAGTTTTGTATTACAGAGGAATATTGCAGAGGAAGGACTTCCACCCAGGTCTCCCAAGTCCTAGGCTAGCACTCTAACCATGGAACATCCTCCTTCTCTCACTTCCTTTCTACTCCACTCTGCAGAGTGCAATTAATTTTTTCAATGAGCCCAGTACTCCATTGCCCTGCATTTTATGTAGTCATTTGCAATACAGGTTGCACCTCTGAAAACCAGCACTATCTGGTCTGGCAACATCTGTGGTCCGGCAGAACCACGGATGCTCCTGGACCAGAGATCCCAGGAGACTAATGGCAGGAGGACCAGCAGTCCAGCCAAGGCTGAAGGTAGTGGGGCCAGAGCCTCACAGCAGTGCTGGGGCCAGGGACTGGAGAATCTCAGCAGCGCAGAGCTGGGGGCTTAGGAACTCTAGGTGACTGTGGCATTACAGGACCAGCAGCAGCGGGGCCTTCCCGTGGCAGCGTGGGGCTGGGGACCAGAGAAACCTGGCAGCATGCAACAGTATGGGGCTGGGGAACCTTAGCTGCCTGTGCAGTGAGGGGGCCCCCAAAGGTGAAGAAGTCCACCCACCCACAGCAGCACGGGGCTAGAGAACACAAGCCACCCACAGCAGCGCAAAGCCAAGGAAACCTGGCCACCCACAGCAGCCGGGGACCAGGGGGCAGTGGCAGTGTGATGGACAGCCCAGCTGGAGAGCGAGTAGAGGAGGCCAGAGGCAGGAGGCCAGCTGGCTCAGGGCAGGGGATACCTCCCCAGAAAATCCTCAGGTGCCAGACCAGGGAGGTCCAACCTGTAGTGCAAAGTGTGAAATACTACTAAATCAGAAACAGCAATCTTGTAACTACACAAGATACAGGGCAATGGAAAAGCTGGCCTTGTCTGTTCTGCCCAGTATCTTTCCCTCTTCTCAACCCAACTCAGAGGTATGTTTTATATCCATCTACATGTAAGGCAGAAGGAATTTTTAAAAGCTTTCAGGCCTACTTTATACATCAAATAAGCTCACAGAGCCCTTTTTGCATGTAGTCTTTAAACAATTTAATTCTTTTTATGCTTTCTAAAATAGTTTTATCAAGCTTACCTTCTGCTCCATTCAAATATACAAAACTTGAGCTAAGAACAAGCAAAAGAGATTCCATCCAAATGATATTAAAAGTTATAAGCCCCTAAACACAAGAGTGGATAACAAAAATGCTTCCTCAACCATAACTGTAGCATCATTTCCTAACATTATGAACCAATTTAAAATTTTCATGAATTCTAACAGTCAATTATGATTTTTAAGTAAATAAGCATATTTTACTTCTGTTTATCTTCTACTGCATCAGACAGGTGTTTCTTAACACAAAAAGGATTTGTGAACCTTCTCTTCTGAGTTTTAAATTCTAAATTTCATGCAATTTAATAAAATCTGAATTTTGGATTTTATTAACAGACTGGCCTCTGAATTTTGGATTTTATTAACAGACTCCATAAACTTCAGTTATAAGTCCCCTTTACTTACTCTTGCTACTGGTGCAATATTGTTGCACCATCCAAAAGACTGCAAAAATCAGTAAATGTATCTTTAAAATGATCAATTGCTTTTGAGTTCTCAAATCAAAATTGATAGCCGTGGCTATTAAAATAAGACAGACACATTTGTAGATTCTAAATATTATTGATTACTTTTGGTAACTCTCCCCCCCGCAATAACTAAATTTTCACACAAAAAATAAATACATATACAGGTTGGACCTCCCTGGTCCGGCACCCTTGGGACCTCACTGGTCCCAGATGAGGAATTTTGCTGGACCCAGGGAGATCATTTCTGGTCTGCCCACTGGCCTCCCAACTGGCTCCTCACCTCCAGCAGAGCAGCAGGGCCAGCAGACCCCACAGGACAGCCATCGTTGCCCTGGCTCCAGGACCCACACAGCAACCATGCACGTTGCGCTGGGGCTCCGGCACTCACGGGGAAGCTGCATGCACCATGCTGGGAATCTGGGATCAGCTGAGCAGCTGCGCACCATGGATCCCTGCCTCACCAATCTACCATAGCTCCCAGCCCTGTCAGGCAGCCACGTGAGTGTCTCCCAACCCCGCTGGGCAGACCCCACAGGGATCCCTGCCACTGGCCCTCCACCAGGACACTAGTCCTCCAACATCTGTGTCAGACTATGGATGTTGCTGGACCAGAATATCCTGGTTAAGAGAGTTTCAACCTGTATTCAAAAAAATTAACACCTCCCACCAAAACTCAAAACACCTAAACCTTACACAAACTGATCTCCATATGATCTGAGTTGTTCAGGACGTCAGAATACCTGACTGACTATGTTAAATCAGAAGGAATCCCATGACATGACCCTGCAATCTTCTCTATATTTAACTGCAAAGAACTAGATTATCCCTGGTGTGCAGATGGGAGAAGAGTACAAGAAAAAAAAAAAAAAAAAAAAATTTAAACTCTGAAGGATTTTCTTTATTATACTTTTTCACCAAGACCCACTTTTGTTGTCTTGCCAGGGCAGAATGCCTCTCCTTGATTCCCAATAGCATGTCTTAAATAGAGCATAGCACAAAAGCTAGTCAAAAAATGGAATATATGGCCTAATTTTAAAATCCTTACAAGCGACTCCGAGTGGGTAATGGATCATTAATTATTTACACACACAAATTGAAGCCCAGAAAAATATACAAATAAACATGGGGGGAAAAGCAATCAGGGAAACAATACATGCAAATATAAACTTAGGTATATCCAGAAGAATAACTCCAGTAATTAAGACAGTGGGCCTTTAATATCAGGCCTTCTCTGGGGTATTTCCCTGGGGGATTTGAATTCTAGGACACACTGATCTCCATCATCTCTTTCCTAGAGTTCACTTACTGAGCAGAAAGCAGAAGTCTGCCTTCTACCTGACATGTCACTTCTAACTACCTCTGCTACAGCCAGCCAACTCTACACTTACTTCACCTGGAAGTATGCAGAACTGATCCCTGGGGAGCTATCATAATGACTCCTGAGAACACTGGTTGAATGTCTTAGGATGCAGAGCCCAGTCCTACCACACCAACAGTAATTCTGAGCAATAAATTGAACTGCCCTTTTTGAGAGTCACAATACTCAGAAGTTATCTGTGGAATTGGATAGTATGTGTTTTGATATCAGACGAGCATTATCATAGATTTGAAGGTCAGAAGGGGCTATTTATCTATTTTGTTTTCAAAGGGGACCTGTGGCACTTCTGTTGGTATGAACTGACAGAAAACTGGGAGACAAACAACAAATACCTTTGGCTCAAAAACAATTGTAATAGCAATATATGAACCAAAATAGGAAAGAACTAGAAAAGGATCAGAGAATATCTGTAGCAAGGTAACACGCAAGAAAGCAGTAACCTAGAACCCCAGTCTGTAGCTGATGGAGCAGCACATTTCCACATCATGCCTCCTTTGGATGCTTTTGGTAACTCTACTAATGAGTATGCCTAAGCCCTTCTGGACAGTCACCAGGAGTAGTCCTATATTTAGTTGATTGAGTGGTAAAATTAAAATACTGTACTGGTGTGTTGTGGGCACCCACTGACCCTGAGGGGGAGGCGCCCCTCCCCGAGTCTTGGTGGATAACACCTGACGACAGGAAGCCAGGAGGCGGGGTCAGAGCTATAAAAGGCCTATCAGAGAGGCCCGTGTGAGCCAGAAACCTCCCCTGTGCACCCAAAGGAAGAGCTAGACCCAGGAGAGGTGGAGGACTGGCCTGGGCCACCAGGGCCCCTACTGGATGGCGACCTAGAGGGACTGCTTGACTGGTCAGGGGTTCCAGAACTACGAAGCCCAGAAGACCTGCACCAGGCTCAGGTACCACCCAAGGGAGAGAAGGGAAGAAGCCCAGGGTCACCGACCACCATTTGGCTGCACCAGAACCTGGGCAGTGCATTTCCGAGCAGGTACCCCCTGACCCAGCTGCTACTAGGGCTCTGGGCTGGGATGCAGTGGAGTGGGTGGGCCTGTGTTCCCCTGCTACTCCACCCTTGGGTAGCAATCACCCCCCCCCCCCCTTGGCTGTTACTGAACAGCAGCCTGAACCTGCAGAACTGGTGCCCAAACAAGGGGCCCCAGCTGGATGTGCACACCAAGACTTTTGAACTGGTTATTTCCTTGCTGCCCTGTCCTGAGCAAGGGCCTAGCTTTTGGAACTCTTTGGGTGTGCTTAAACTACACCCCTCTGTCGGCAGAGGGATGTAAATTAGACACATTGAAGTTGCAAACGAAGCTGGGATTTAAACACTTCATTTGCATAATGGTGGCCACCGCTTTTTTTTTTTTTTAAACTGGGCTTTTCGGAAGGAAAAAAAAACAAAAATGCAGTTTAGACAGGGCATTTTCAACAGAAATGCCCTGTTTTGAAAGATCCTGTATTCGGAGGATCTTCATTATGCAAATGAAGCACAGGATATTTAAATCCCGGCTTCATTTGCACTTTTGATGTGTCTAGTTTACATCCCTCTGCCAACAGAGGGGTGTAGTTTAGGCACACCCAAAGAGTTCCAAAAGCCAAGCCCTTCCTCAGGGCGTGTCAGCAAAACAAGTGTGCTGCCCTGCCCTGAACTGAGGCTTGGGGCACTGGATTCTGTGTGCTGCCCCGCCCTGAACCGAGGTCTGGGGCTCTGAACTGTCTGCCACCTGCCCCAAGCCGGGACTGGACCCTGGACTGTTTATTGATTGGCCACCAGCCCTGAAGAGCTAAAGGACCTAGCTAGTTCCCCAGAGAGACTAAGCAGGAGGTAGAGGGGCTATTTGA